CGCGCCCGCACCGCGCTCAACCAGTGAGCGGGCCGGTCTCTATATGGGATCCGAACCCTCGTCAGGAGCGCTGCCACGCTCCCAAGTGCCGCACTCTACCGAGTGCGCCACCGGGCCGCCCCCTAAGAGGTGTTGTTTGAAAGAGGTGGAAAAAGGAGAGAAACGCAGAGGCATGAGGAAGAGAGCGACTGACCAAGGCTCAGAGAAAGAGGTGACAGAAGGGAAGAGCAGTAGACAGAGACTCTTACTTGATGCTTCTGATCATTATTCAGGACTTACTGTCATTTATGCAAATGAGGTTGATGTTTAGGTGCTGGTTGGTAGAGAACCATAAGGAAGATGCAAGATATCTAGGTTTGAACGGAATCAATGAACTTTTGTTTTAAAAGGTTCACCAGTATATTTAGGGTTCGCTCAGCTCTCTTAGACAAGCTGAAGACAGACTTAGATGAAGCCTGCGTTGAGCACTTAGTTCAGCTGGGTGACACGTCAGAGCACACACCAAAAGGCCCCTGTCTACTCTGGTCTTTGTTTCAGTGAACACTGAGACCTGCTTAACTGCATTTAGTGTTTGGTATGTAAGACATTTGATAATATGGCAGAGCGTTTGATGGCGTTACACTTTACGTGATTGGTGTCTGTTTTTGCTCTCTTGTGGAGTTCTGCTTTAAATTTGATATTGGCTTCAGAGTTCAGGTAAGTCCTTTCACATTAAGGAGCAGAATAAGTGTCTACTCCTTAAATAAAAGTGAATTATCACTCATCCTGTTAATATATTTTTCACACTGTGTATTTCTTCTGTGTGCCAAGAGGAGTACTACCTCCAGGTTGTATTGAGGGTAGGCACATTAGGGGCCCTGACCATATAAGGCTATAGGATCATAACTCACATGTATCTTCTTGAGATGAAAGTCAAAACTTTGCAGTCAAATTGGGGGAAAAACTGACCAGTTTCTTTTGGCTTTGCAAAAGCTTCTTCCCCTCTTGCATTTCCTAATATTCTCTTGAGGCAGATGATCTTGCTACTTGGTTAAGCCCTTAAGACTCTCTTTGGTGGTTTTGAATTAATGGACTTAAGGAAATTCCAACCTGATGACATTTGAGCTATATATTATTAACTTTTGAATGTTTGACTTTGATATCCTTTTTCTTTTTGTGTTTAAAAGGGTTGGTATTTGTTACAAAGAACTGCAAAAGAGGACATTGCCTTGCCTTACAAAATAAGATTTAGGTTTGATTCACAACTA